AAAAAAAAGAATCCTAGATGTATGTCCTACTAATTCTTAGCATCAGCGATAGCAGAGGGCTTAATACTAAAATGTGTTATTCAAAGCAGTTTCTGACAAAGAAATCCAAAATACTACTAAATGGCTAATTTCATTCTTTAAGGAGAGAAGAGGCATTTACTATAAACGTGATATCTCTAAAAGACCAGCAAATTCATACAAATACTAAAATACCAATGAGTGTCTCTAAATAATGCCAAACTGCAAATAAATTACATGGTAAAAAAATATATATATATAGGAAAAAAGAGAGAAAGAAAAGAAAAAAGAAAGGATGGGAGGAAGGGAAGAAAGAAAGAAGGGAAGGAAGGAGGGAAGGACAAGGAAGGAAGGAAGGAAAGGAAGGAAGGGCGGGTGGGCGGGTGGTCCCATTGGATATGTGTAAAGTGTACCCAAACAGCTGAAAGAAGAAATTTCTAGCCCATCTAAATGTGATGGTAGCACAGTACACAGCCACGTTCACAAGTCTTCAGCTCTGCCTTAGCGGGATACTTGTGATGTGAATTCAGCCTTCCGTCCTCGCCTCCTCCCACTGAACCGAAAGCACAGAAGCTTCCCTCACTTACAAAGCCCTTGGCTCTACCTCTGGAGAATTTTCATGGGCATAACTATACCCACTCACCAGGAGCTTTGGGGGCTGGACTGTCCTTCTGGCTCCCAGAGGAGCATCTGTCTGTCTAGCATTGCTCCTCTCACATGCCCCGTGCTCGCATTCCCGCCCAGTTCCTCCCTTGCCATCATCCCAATCCATGGATCTCAACAAGGACTCCTTTTGTTCTGCCTGGAGACATGCAGATCTGCCCTGTGAAGCACTCAGACCCCTCTTTAACTAGCCACTGTCGGGTCCTGGGACATCTCTAATACATTGAGAGAAAAGCCTACCGCATCCATATTTACTCCTCTTCTAATTTAGCCTCCTTGTGTGAACTGACACCTGGACATTCCTGAAAATACTCTGTTACAAGGATTCAGTTTTTTTTCACTTCCTTTGTCTCAGTGGAGGAACGGGGCCAGCTGACTCATTGCTCCCCAACCTTCTGTCTTACATCTACACCATTTGTGGACTGCTTTCACCCCACTTTTCTTTTTCCCTTTATCCCCCCCGCCCCATCATGTGTTCTGTCACCTACTGGCTTCCATGACTTATCTCCAGCTTACTCAATAACTTTGGGTTGGCTTCTGCCTTCATTGTCCATCATACCTTATTTTCATCCTTGAAGACATTATCATCCATTGCTATGACTCATCTTATACCAAGACTTCACAATTCCTTATGTTCTGTTTCTAATCTGAATCTAACCCTCCCCACATCCTTACCACTTGTGAAGTTCAAGAATATATCTTCATATTCTTCAGGAGATTAAATATGTGTGCATAATGGCAAATATGCAATGCAATATAATAAGAGAAACAAAGAATCATCTGTAGGATATTATGGGAATGCAAATGGAAGTCATCAAAGCCCTACTAGAAGTGGATGCATGGATATCAAAGTGGAGGTGGGGTTTGATTTCAGTCGTGAAGGATAAGTAAGAGTTGGCCAACAGACCCACAACAAATCCAAATTGTCGATGACCTTATATTGCCCCACTTCACCAGGGACCTCCCAAAGCCAAGTCTGACAACCCATTCTCCAGTTTTAAGAAGGAACTTTATAAATTTCTAATACAATCTGAAAAATTATTTTTATGAGGGGCACCTGGGTGGCTCAGTCGGTTAAGCATCCAACTTCAACTCAGGTCATGATCTCACAGTCCATGAGTTCAAGCCCCGCGTCGGGCTCTGTGCTAACAGTTCAGAGCCTGGAGCCTGCTTCGGATTCTGTGTCTCCCTCTCTCTCTGTCCCTGCCCTGCTCATGCTCTGTCTCTCTCTGTCTCAAAAATAAATAAAAACATTTTTAAAAAATTTAAAAAATCTATTTTTATGAAATTTAGCTAGGAACCTCTGTAAATCTCCCAATGCATCCTCACTGTTCCTAGGAAAATGTCCAATTGTCCCTGGAAGACTCTTCATGAGGTGGCCACTGTTTACAATGCATGGCCTCTTCCCTTATCACCATAAATGCAGCTGTACCCCAAGATAGTTTTCTGACCCTTGCTGTTCACAGGAAAGGAACAGCTGGTTTTTCTGTCCCACATTCATCTTCTCCCACTATCCCTAGACACCCTGGAGAGTACCTGCCCATCCTTCAGGACTACATGGCTTAGATAACTTGGTTCTCATTGAATCCCACCTAATACCATCTTGATCACTTCTTCCTCTTTGGTGTCCTTGGGACACAACTCTGTCATTTTTTCTTACTTCTGATCTTCCCCAAAAGCTTCACTGTGAGCCCCTTGAGGAGACCATCCTCCTTTGCCCCCCCCCCCAATCTAGCAGAAATCTTAAAATAAACCTCCTTTGGTGTTTTGAATGGCTGTTAGAAATGTCACTATAAGAGATCTTTGTCATCCCACCCAACTCCCTTCCTGTCCAGCCAGGGTCTCCTTTTAGTTAAGAGAGTGGAATCCAGTTCTCTTAATTCCATTCCATAGGTCTTTTGCCCATGTTGAACCCCCCCCCAACCATAAATTAGTTCCCCCAGTGATCATTACTCCCTCCATTGCGTAGTATTGCAGGCTATCAGTCTTTTGGAGTTTCATTTGGGGACCCAGGTTTGCGTGAATTTTGCCTTTGGGATGGAGTTTCCCACAATGAGTTTCATACCGCAGTCAGCGCTGAACGGAAAGCTGCCATACTCCCTCCTTCCCAGTGCCTGTCTCACAGATTTGTTCCGCAGTGCCCACAGACAGTACCAACTGCTTTTCCTCTTGACTGCCAAAATAAGTCAGCAGTTGGGAAGGGGGAAAAGAAAAGATGATGAATTATGGAAAATAACTAGGGAGAGCGAATGGCAATACAATGGCGGGGGAGGGGGGGAAGTAACAACTCTCTGTAGCTCCCCACCCAGGTGACTGTCTCAGATTTCAACCAACTAAAAGAAAACTAAACAAAGAATAGCACCCAGTCAACCAGAAGCCTCTGAAACCAGACAGTAGTTGAGAACTTTCCCCACTGATCTGATAACCCCCCTGACCACCACAATGCAAGATTCAGGCCCCAATCTCTTGCACAACTGCGTGTTTCATTAAGACAACAGATCATGGCGAAGGGGACAGCTAGATGGAAGGATGGGGGAGGGGGGCGGGTGACAACATCTGTTTGGAATAACTCCGTTTCCATATGAAAAGCTTCGCAAACCACCTCTGGCCAAGCGTTCTGGAGACAAGTCTGACCTATAAACCCTTCCAGTACCTAATGGTGTGTGCATACGTGCAAGCCTCGGGTGTCATTGTGATGTATGCTGGGGCTGGAGGGTGTTAGCATTTTAATGTCCCCAGCTCATGCTTGGGAGCACACGTGTTAGTCTTCTCATCGCGCCGGTATTTGTCTCCAGTGCTGAGAATGTGATTATGAACATATCACAAGGTTTGCCTAAGCGGTGTTTTTGTCTTAATCTAGCAGAAGATCCCCTCCAAGCTTCTGCGGCATTTCATGTTAGCCCTTACAGGGCTCTTCTGCAATTATTCACGCCTGCTTCCCCTAAGAGGCTGTGGGAATTTACGTCGTAAAGGGATTCCTCACACCTACCACAATTCTGCAAATTTGTAGAAAACACGCACAACACACAAGAAGATGTCTTTAAAAATGGATGGATGTGGTTGATTGTTCTGTGGTTTTAAAGACTTTTCTCTGACAGCTGCCTTCCTCCATCGCAGCGCATCCAGACCAGCTTGCAGACCGCTAAGGCTTTTGTAGAAGCCGATTTGGCGACACGCTTTTTCAAAGCTCTGGCGAGAAGTGTTCATTGTGTTACTGTTCATACGATCACCTAGAAGATCCTTGCCAATCGATGGCTTTGTGGAGACTTTTACCTTTGTGCTACATCTCTACAACCGTGGTCATCTACACATCCACTTTATAATCACATAGGGGGTGGTGGAAACAAAGAGTGGCAACAATTCTGTATGTCAGTGTTACGGGGTTTTGGGGTTTTTTGTTTGTTTTTTGGGTTTGTTTTGTTTTGTTTTGGTCTTTTTGTTTTATTGTTTTCCTTTTTCATGGACTCAGCCTGCTTTGAGTTGAAAAAGGAAAATAATCGTAAAAGGAGGACAAGGCTCTGACTCTGTGATCTGAGTGTTCATTGACCATTGACAGGAACGGTCTTCTCTCCTGCCGGAACCAAGGCTAGTGTTTCTCACAGGCACCACGTGGGGCAGCCGTCCCAACTCCAGTGAGCGGCCATTGGGAAACATTAGTGACCCTGTGTGCACACAGCAAACACACTTATTAGAATAAAACCTTTGGGATTGCGAGTGAATGCAATCGCATTAAAAAAAAAATTAAGGAAGATGTACTGGCATTAATTTTGTTAGCTTTGTTCCTTCTAATCCTCTCCTGGAAAAATCTCTTGCCTGACTGTTTTCCATCATTATTTTTGGCATCTTCATGCTGTTTAATGTCTCCCTGCTGTTTGTGTTTCAGATGGGAGTCCGAAAAGTGTTTCTAAAATACTGGCACGCCGGCCAGCTCAATGATTTGTGCCTACAGCTGCAGAGGAAAATTATAACCTGCCAAAAAGGTAACAATTACACACTAACCTTTCTGAATGTCTTTGAGTCGTGAGTTACAAAATCACTTAGTGCGCCTCTAGTTAAACGTCAGTGGGATCCACACGGTAGCGGGCCCCTTCCGTGACACTGTGCGTGGGCAGTTTCGAGGAGCCGGGCAAACAGTCAGGCTCAGGCAGCTCTCTACCAGCACTTGTATGCACTGCACATACTTTATGTGGTGGTCATTTCATCTGAAATCTTACAGCAAATTTTCACCTCGATCGGAATTTGGAAGAGAGAGTGTTCATTTCTTGCAATTTACATGTCCGCCCCCTGGCAAATATTCATGCTTGTTGATCTGTTCAAAAAGCACAGGACAGGAAGATGTACCTTTGAATCCACACTGGGATCCCCCGTGTGGCACTTAGGCGCAGATATGAGGCAGAGTCCTAGTTCATTTCCATCAGCACCACTGGTATATGCTGCTGGAGTTTGGAGGACCAGAACAGACAAATTCACCAAACCACATTTTACGTAATTCTACATATGCCTTGGTGAAATCCCTGACACTTAGCTTCCTTTAGGAAGTGACAAGGATATTGGAGTGTTACCTTTGATGGCAGACAGCATCATTTTAGCTTTAGGGGAGATTCCATGTAGAATTTTGTACCTATAGGGGTGCTTGGGTGGCCTACTGGGTTGAGCGTCCAACTTTTAATCTCGGCCCAGGTCGTGATCTCATGAGTTCGTGAGTTCAAGCTCTGTGCTGACGGTTCAGAGTCTGCTTGGAATTCTGTCTCTCCTGCTCTCTGCCCCCCTCTTGTGCTCGCCCTCTCTCCCTCTCCCTCAAAACAAATAAATAAACTTAATTTTAAAAACTTAAAAGATTTTTTTTCCTATAAAAACCCAAGTGACCATTGAAAATGGGTACATTGGAAAAATCTTCACTATGCTTCCCATAAAGCATATGTACTTACTAGATACTAGTTTTTAATTTGCTTAATGATTATATTATACTATATATCATGAATAAATATTTAAAGAAAGGCTGAAGAAGGAGAAATGACATGCTAGCGTTTGGTGGACCTGCTGACATGAGCTTGGCTGTCTGCTATCTTTGGAAATGTCCAGCACAAGCATAACTCAGTCCGAAACTGGTTTTATTCTGTCCGAGCCCCTGTCCATGGAGCCCCTGTGTGAAATCTCCAAGGGGTCCCATCATTTTCTGATGAGAAAAAGCCCTGCCACACGCTGGTGCCCTGAACTATCAGAGTTTGGCAGGTCGAGTCCAAGTAATGTTCGAAGCTCAGAATTCCCTTCCAGGTGAAACCATCCCTCTTGGCCAGCTCAGGCCCCACAGGTGGGGTGTGGGCGTGGCTCTCAGCCTGTCCGGGCAGGTGTGTGTGGACCCTTGGGGCTGGTGACAGAGAGGGAAGAGTGAGGGGACGGGGCTGCTCTTCTGTCCAAGCGGCACCTGGGGGGGTCCGGCACAGGGTCTCTCTGGAAGGGCTGCAGGCGTTGAAAGGCTGTTGGAGCCCAGGGGAGCACCTCAGCACTCCTGTGCACTGCCTCCCTGAGAAGTGACATGAGCTCCCCTCGGGACATTCACTTGTAATTCTCCCTCAGCCCCAGTCACCACAGACAGTGCTTTAAAACAAGCCTCTCTAGACGACTCCAAGCAGGCATCTCTTTCTTGACAAGCAGGCTGGTGCTTGAGAAACACAGGCTGGGACCCCGACAGGTACGTCCCCTCCCAGCAGAGCCATTAGGCAGTCAGTGCCTGCCAGCACCCACCTCAGGCCCACGGCCCCCTTGTCCTCCAAACTGCAGGGTCGAGTGGCTGGTTCTCTGCGTGGTCTCCCGAAGCCACTTTCACCAGCCTGGAGGTCAGCCGGGCAGCATGGGGAGCCCCAGGTGACGGAGGCAGACCCTCCCCCCCAGCTCTGGGCAAGTCTGGCTCCTCTCTGGGTTATGACAGTCTGGTCATCCTTCATCCGTGTAGGGAAAGGCCGGGGCCCCAGGCCAGTGAGCCCCACATGGCCACCTGCCGGGCGATCTGAGCCCCTGCCGCGTCAGCATCACCTGCGAGCCTGTTAGAAATGCAGAGGCTCGGGCCCCCACCACCTCGAGAATTGGAATCTGCATTTGCAGCCTCAGCTAGAACCGGGCTGGGAGGCCCCATGGACCAGACCAGTGCCCTAATACCTGAGCTGTGGAGTCATTGGAGGTCCCTATGCTGGCATGGTATTCGTCCATAGAGCAGGGTCTCAGATTCTCCTGGAAAGTTTCCTACATCACAATTAGAAGAACACGCATCTTCCTCCATCAGGGATGCTCACTAGAAAGGTCTCCTGTATTTCACGGCAAAGATTAAGCCGACCCCCCTGACCCAAAACTGAAGAAACAAGCAGAAATCTAGACACTCCTTCACCTTTAAGGATCAAAATTGAGACAGGTCTTTAAAAAAAATGGCACCAAGATAAAAACTGTAATTCCAGATTACATAAATGAAATAATGGATATAAAAGCAGCTTTAAAATTAGAGGCTCTTAAATGCAAAGCATTAATTATTGATTTTTACTTTTACATCTCTTGGAACAGCCCCTTCCATACTTTCTGCTAGTGTGAAATTTACTCGAAATGTATGTAATTTAGAGTTATTTCCAGTTTTTCAAGCGTTCTCATTTTTCTTTTGTAAATGTTGCGGGGGGGGGGCGTTGGGGAGAAAGCTGTAACGTTGATCATTTTAATATTAAATTATTCCTCATGGAAGCTACTTTTGGACCCTCTGTGTTCCTTCTGTCCTGGAGGAAAGCTGTCTGTGAAGATCTCCATGCTGTTAAGTGTATAAAAGCAGTCTTTTAAATTGTCAGCAAGAGGACCAATATTGATTTGTGGCAAATTCATTTTTCCTAGTTGCCTCTTATTAAAGACACCAATTTTGAGCAACTGTTATATCATGTTTAAAGGGTTTTTAAAGGCCGCCAGTATGAAGTGTGAGAACATGGTGTCCCCCGGAGGCAGAGTGATAGACCCCCGGTGAATGTGCGTGCAGAGAATAGTGCTGCTGTTCCCTGGGGCAGAAGAAGTCTAGCCGAGCCACATTAATTCTTCCCTTTATTCCACAAGATTAAACATCTGGAATATACCCTCACCTTCACCCTTCCAAAGTCAATGTCTCAAATTGCTTTAATGGAACAGGAATGAGCGAGCAAACTGACCAGTTTGAATTCTTGTCCTTCTCTCTCTCAACGTGCCCGCCGCGTGGTTAACACTTGTGCATTTTATAATCCTGAAAGTCTGATAGTACCTTTTATGGCTTAATATTTTTCCCCTTTAGATTAGTTCAGCATGACTGTTTTGCACTTAATACAACTGCATTCCAGAGTAGGTAAACATCTAGTATTGCCATTTGGGGGAGAAAAAAAAGCCTTAAGCATTTTACTTTTCTTTAATGTTTATTTATTTTTGAGAGAAAGAGACAGAGTGCAAGCAGGGGAGAAGCAGAGAGAGTGGGAGACACGGAATCAGAAGCAGGCTCCAGGCTCTGAACTGTCGGTGCAGAGCCCGATGCAGGGCTCAGACTCACAGACTGTGAGATCATGACCTGAGCTGAAGTCGGACGCTTAACCTACTGAGCCACCCAGGAGCCCCACCTTAAGCACTTTGGATGTCTGCTCATTATTTGCCTCTGCATCTATAATTGTGGAAAGTCGTGTCCAGCTTTCCTTCCACCTTCTAATCAAGTAAAGGCATCAAAATGAGTATCATAAAAAACCCACACATTTATTCTTCTATGGCCAGGGAACACTTTAAAACACTTCATGTTTGGGGCACCTGGGTGGCGCAGTCGGTTGAGCGTCCGACTTCAGCCAGGTCACGATCTCGCGGTCTGTGAGTTCGAGCCCCGCGTCGGGCTCTGGGCTGATGGCTCGGAGCCTGGAGCCTGTTTCCGATTCTGTGTCTCCCTCTCTCTCTGCCCCTCCCCCGTTCATGCTCTGTCTCTCTCTGTCCCAAAAATAAATTAAAACGTTGAAAAAAAAAATTTTTTTAAATAAATAAATAAATAAAACACTTCATGTTTTATGGCCTTCCCCACTCCTGACATGCACTATAAAGAAAAATAAAGCATCTTTGTTACACACATTGGTTTTCCCTTGAAATTATAGATCTTAGAATTCAAGCAGCTCCTTCTAACCATAGAAACTTAGAATTGGAAGGGACAGCGTCCTATGGTCACAAGGCCCACACGGGAATCCCTGCACCTGTCCACAGCATCCAGGGGAAAGGGTCATCTAAATCCTCCCAAGCACACAGGCTCCCTCTCTCACGAGACGCCCTTCTCCATTTACACCCTGTGCCCATTGCTAGAACGCACCTTCTCACATGAATCACAAACATGCTTCGCTATGACTCCTCCGTTGGGGCTCTGCTCTCTGGAGAGCCAAGGCAGCATCTGTATGGTCAAAGGGAGAGGAGTGAGTTTGTCATGTAAGCACGGAGAGCTGAACCCTGGCTCTCCCGTTCATTGGTCGTGTTTACCCAGAGAAGTTTTCTTGACTTCACTAAGCTCTTTCTTTGGTTGCAAAATGGACCTAATGGCGTATTAATTATCACCGGGGTTTGGCATTTGACAATGGAAGGTCTAACACATGAAAGTATCTTTAAAATGGTGGGCATGACTACCTTTATTTGCAAGTCTTACCATTAGTTAGTGACAGGCTGACGATTTCAAAGTATTGTTCACCCACTTATTCCTCCCGGTTCTCACACATTTTTCTAGCTCCATATCCCCGGAAAGCAGAAAGGACATCCTAAATTTCTACACAATCTCTTTCCAGAGTCTTAAATGCAGACTCTGCATTTAAGTGAGAGAGGGAGCCCGTGTGTTTGGGAGGATTTAGATGACCCCTTCCCCTGGATGCTGTGGACAGGTGCAGGGATTCCCGTGTGGGCCCTGTGACCTTAGGATGCTGTCCCTTCCAATTCTAAGGTTCTACGGTTAGAAGGAGCTGCTTGAATTCTAAGATCTATAATTTCAAGGGAAAACCAATGTCTTAAATGCAGTGTTAGCTTTTCTAGGAGTTTAATCACGGCCTGGTTAACACATCACGTGATATGTCAGAAGACTACTTCCATAAACCTCAGACGTTTCTGATGTAATAATGGTCCTAAAATGGTCCAGTTGGAGCCCCACTGCAGAATTCTCTGGGGTTTGAACCTACTTCCTGCCCTCTGACTTTAATCCAGTCCATCACATCCAGCCTCTGTTAGGGAAAGAAGTGTGGACGTGTCAGGACTCGAATTAAGGAATTTGCGTCTAGTGTTATCATTGCTGGGTTTCGATGTCTTTTCAAATACGAGATTAGAATGTTTTGTGAACTCTTATTCTGAGTCAAACGGGCCTTATTTTATAGCTGCTCAAACATAAATGTGTTGTGACTTTTGTTTGTTGCACGTCTGGGGTTTCACTTCTGCTCCTCTGGCTGACCCCTGATTGTGTTCTTTTATGGAAGTTATAAGAGGATTTCTAGCACGCCAGCACTTGCTTCAGAAAAGGAGCATCAGACAGCGAGAGGTCACGTCCATCAACAGCTTCCTGCAGATCACAGAGGACATGGGGTTGAAGACCTACGATGCCCTGGTCATTCAGAACGCTTCCGACATTGCACGTGAAAATGACCGGCTCCGGAACGAAATGAAGGCTGCTCACCATCAAGAGAAGGCGGAAGCCAGAAACAAGCCAGAGGAAGGAGCCAAAAGGTAAAGGCAGATAGAATGCAACTTTAATTACCTTTGTAATTGATCCGTGGAGCCAAGAAAATTCCGATAGCCCTTAATGCAAAGTTCAGTCAAACATGACAGCGGTTACGGGAAGAAGAGTGGATACATGCACAGTTTGCTATCTGAAACCTCCTCGCGATCTAAAAGGGTCCCCTCTTGTGGTTTCTTTTCTTGCAATAGGTGCTATATGTGTTAGTTTTGCCAGAGGAAATAATCACCGCTTCCCCTATGATGCTTGTATCACTTACCATCTCAAGGCCAAAGTTTTAAGGCAGCTAACGTTTCTGTCTTAGCAAAAATATATAACTTGGTGCTTGACATCTTTATGTAAGTCCATTTTTTAAAAATTTCTTTTTAACATTTATTCATTTTTGAGAGGCAGAGAGAAACACAGCGTGAGTGGGGGAGGGGCAGAGAGAGACGGAGACACAGAATCCGAAGCAGGTTCCAGACCCTGAGCTGTCAGCACAGAGCCTGATGCAGGGCTTGAACTCATGGATTTCGAGACTGTGAGATCATGACCTGAGCTAAGTCGGACGCTTAACCGACTGAGCCACCCAGGTGCCCCTATACAAGTCTTATGTATATAAGGGTGACTCGTAGAAACTTCTGGAAATCTGACCCCCCAAATGGGCATAATGGTATATTCTGTTTTCTGAAAGCAGAAAAGTAGTGAAATCAATGGTTGTATGTATTATATTGCCCTTAGTAATCTGTCACATTTTCTTCGCCAATACGGAAGGTTTGGGGGAAAGCTTTTGATTTTAAAGTTCACTTCGGATGCTGAGCTTGAAATAGAAATGTGGAGGCAACCTGGTCCTCCTCCAGTTTGTCACTCTTGCCTGTCTGTGAATGACGAGGACACCCATGGCCCTCAGTCGCCCTCCCTGGGAGGGCAGGGACCTGGGTCCTAACTCGCCGTCGGGCAGATGTTTGTTTTTCCGCAGGAACTTGGCGCTATCTGGTTGTTTCCCATCGAAAACGACTCCCCTTCGTCTTCAATGCCTATGTCAAATGATTTTTTATTAAAGATGAAATGGTGATGTGTCTCTCGCTAATTAGCTTCAAATATCTCAGTGATTAAATACTGAAAAAAAATTCCCTTTGTACGGAAAACTGTAATTAAACATTACAGGGAAAACAAATTATTCACTGAGTGCTAGCTTTCATCTTCAGCTAGTTCATTTTCTACATGGGTGTCTGGCTCTGCCTTGTGGTAGATCCCAGCCCGGCTGGTGCTCTGCCACACAAAGATATAATTACAAGAACAAATGCTCGGAGACTCCTTGTAAAATGAATGCATTGACATCTCACCAGTACATGATTACATTGACATGTGAAGCCAGAAGGAATTTTTTTTTTTTTTAGACCAGATAACTATTCATTTCATCTGACTCCCAGAATAATATTTATTATTTTCACGGCAGGCACTAAACCACCACCCCAATTTCCCAATTTGATTACGTGTTCATTCGCCTGATGTAAAATTAAGGGAAGAAGGAATTTTTTTTTCTATTGAGTTACTGGATCCCAGCGGCGGTTCGCTTGGCATTGGACAACCAGATGAAGTAACAGAACAAAAATAATAATTCTGCACATAATGAAATGATTTGTTCACGGAGTTTACATGAGGGGAGAAGAAGGAAGGGGAGAGAGGGCGCGCGGAGGAATGTAAACTTTTGACAGTTTTAAGTCAAGTATCTGCTCTTTGCCAACGGGCGATGATGAACCCCTTGCATTTGATGCATCAGTAACTCTCTATTACGATGGATATTATCATCCCCGAAATTATCATTCAGATTGAAATTCTGGTTTTCTGACTTGCTTAATAATCAGAGTGTGAAAAATTCATTCAGGGAGTGCCTGATAGAAAACGGGGCGCTCCTTCAGAAGGGTTGCGTTTGTGTGAGATTTTGAAAAAGTCACTGTGATGCATCTCCCCCGTGCTCATTCATCATAGAGCTGGGCCGGAAGGCTGGGCCGCCCTCTCTGGATGCCGGGTTAACCAGAGTGCTACCCATGAATCCTCCGGCCGTGGTGTGATTGTGTCTGCTTGAGCGGGTTCATTGTTAACCATCTGAATAATGCATCTGGGCCCCTCTGGTGGGGTGCTGTTTGTGTGTTGTTCCCCCAAGAGCCGAAGACAAGGGTGGACCCAGGCATTTCCAGTACACCTCCATCCCGGTACCCATGGCGGTGGATGGCCTGATCCAGTCTCTGGCCGGCCCGTCCACCCGGTCTCCTTCCCTGCACTCGGTGTCCAGCCTGGATGACAGCAGTGGCCTCCCATCGCCGCGGAAACAGCCTCCACCCAAGCCAAAGAGGGACCCCACCACGCGGCTGAGCGCCTCCTACGAGGCCGTGAGTGCCTGCCTATGGGCAGCAGCAAGGGAGTCGGCCAGTGAAGGTCAGTGGAGAAGAGGAGGGGAGTGCCTGTTTGGGGCCCCGATGTTCTGCCTTCCGGTGTCTGAGTGCCCACAGCAGTATCATTGCCCTAATATATTTTTAATAGAAATCCGTCCAGCTGTTGGCTTGCCAGCAGCTTCTTCATCATTAAATATAAATAATATGTATTCAGTTCTCTAAGCGTCTTAGGGAAAAGCCACTTAGGTATCATTTCCTTACTTCCCGGCCCCAAGTCAGCATCCTCGATATCGGGGCTCTGACCAGAGTGTCTGTCTTAGTCTGCGTAGATGTTCGCTGACCACAATCCTCAAAAAATTCATCAGGCTTCCCTATGACCACAATCTAATCAAAAATTAAGTCTGTTTTATCATGTGGAGAGTGAAACATTCAGGCAGAGGAGAATCCCACCACGGCAGAATTCAGTAGGCAGAACTTGGGGGGTCTAGCTGAGGGAAGTTTCTACGTTGGTGGCCTAGAAATATTTATGCAAAGAAAGGAGGAAGCCACGGTCTTTTCTCAGTGCAATCTCTCGTCGACTAGTTCATGGGCTTAGTATTGCCTGATGATTAATTTTTACAATAGTGAAGCATCGAGGCAGCACCCCTTGACAGAACAGGTACTAATTCCACAGAGTTTATGTATCACCTACCGAAAGTTAGGCCCGTCATAGGCCCATGGGGATATGTAATAAAGGAAACAAACAATTATCTTTCCTTGTGGGGTTTACGTTCTAGCATGGGAAGACACATGCTCAGCGCAATAAACAAGTAAACAGATAAAGTCTGTTAGCAGATCACCACTGCAGAGAAAAATAAACAGGGTAAGAGGTGATAGTGCCGGGGTGGGGTGGGGTGTGAGATTCTGCGTGAAATAGCGAGTTAGATTTCACTAACAAGTATCACCTGAACACAGGATGGATCACAATTCCTTCCGTTAACAAATGAGCCCAGGATTCAAAGGCACAGCAAAACCACACGCTCATGTGTGGGAGCAGGTGGGTGACGCCACGGTGGGAAGACCATGGGTCGGCAGCCATGAGCAATGAGAAGGCCCCAGTTATCTTCCCAGATGCCTTTTTTTTTTTTTTTGGTCGCTTTAAGAAAGAATAGATCTTTAAGAGAATTTTTATTAAAGCCTAATCCCATTACTATTGTACTGTATGAGTCATGCCACGATCCTACGTAGGCGTCAGCGATGTGGGAGAAATTTCCTAAGTCTGGGGAGAGGAGTGCAGGTGTGTTTCTCACGTCCGTGTGGCAAGAACAGCCACAAAAGGTGAAAGTAGCGCTCCAGAGGGCCTCGGGAGGTCAGGCTTCGGCGGATGCAGATGTGAGCGCAGACACGGTGTTAGAACAGGAGGTGAAGGGCCACTGGCCTCTGATGTAGCCCACGGGCTGCAAGTGGCCGTAGACTGAGCACATCGTGAACGCATTCCCTGGAAAAGGGGAACACATCCCGTTTCCGTCCTTACTTGGGGACCTCTGCACAGGATTTACAGGGCGGAGCTGAAACAGGTGTGCTGAGATGAGAAGAAGGATCCCTTTGGCTTTATTGGAAGAGGAAGATTAGCGCCCAACAAGCTAACACTAACGAGACAGGGAGAAAGGGAAATAGACTAGGATAGCATCAGAAGTTCGAAGCAACATGAAACGAGGTTGAACGCTGCCGTGTATGCGAGACGGCTCCCTGCCCAGATTCCAACACCGCACACAGGTTCTGTGACTCTGAGTAAGTCAGCTGCAGAGTAGTCTGTAACCTCTAGAAAGTTCTGTACGTGCACATTACAAACCACTGCTCTGCGCTTCAGGGTCTGGAGTCGTCAGGTGCCCACCAGGCACGTCGCCATGAAGGGTGAGAAAATGTTGGGGATGGAGTAAAAAAATGTCTGTTAAAAAATGGTTACTCAAGAACCATAGGAGAGAAAAATATATAAAAAAGAAGATGACAGAATAAAAGATTAATGAAGAGGAAAGAGAAAGGCCACACGGTCAGCCTCTGAAATTCCTACTCCTGTGGGGGTCACCAGGCTCTTAAGTCTCACTTAAGAGATTGCAGGATTTTTATGTAAAACGTTAAGTCCTTGGATCCCAATTCCAGCGGGCATGTGACTAAGGCACTTGTCGGGGTCTCCCCCGCTGATCACATCCCCATGAACTGGCATTTTGGAGGCCACCCCCTAAGGCAGTGTTTTGATGGCTGTCACATTATTTGTCCCCTCTTACAAGATTCTTAATGTGGACTTTATGACCGCCACTCATCTCCTGCGGTGGAAGATGAACTCCTTTCATCGAACCTGCTGATCGGATTGGCCAGGTGTGCCGGCTGGTTTTTGTAGGATCAGGAGTCGGGGGCCAGTGCGGGGCCCAGGCACCTGGGTCTCCAGTCTGTAACTGTAATGGTGGCCACACCCTCCAGAGATAAACCTGCCGCGCACAGGGGTTCTGGCCCCGTTTATGCATTTGTGACAGGAGCTGGAGGTGGCCAGTCCAGACGCCCCTAGCTCTTTGTGGCTCTTTCCATTTAAATTCAGTGAAATTTCAAACTCAGTTCCTCAGTCATGAGTCACACTGCAAGGGTGTGGATTCTCCCATCATCATAGAAACTTCTGTCAGACAGCATTGATTCCACGCGCCTCGTGTGTGTACCATGAGGACAACGCTGGGTTCTTTTGCACCTAGTAATATGTCACAAAATCATCTTTCTGCAGAAGACAGGAAGGAACTCGGATTGCTATATAAAACGCTCTGTGAACCTTGGTTTCTCAAGAAAAGGACCACAACTAGTCACGTTCTTACCCGAGTCATTCCTTTTGGCCTACCAAAAACTCGACAAGTCAGCTCAGAGGGTCCTTTGGTAAAGGGGAACTGCTGGAAAATGAGAGCCAAGAATCTTAGAGAAACCAATGATCAGGTTACATTCAAGCTTGTGCCCAGGCCTGTTCTTATTAACACATATCTCTCCTATAGGTTTGCCCCCAGTCACCACAGCCAGTATACAGGGAGGCACTGGAGAGGGCTCACTTTTTTCACCACCTTTGTGCCTGGAAAGCATGAAGCAGTTTGATAAGCCAAGCAAATGTTGACACCTGTGCACAAGCTATTAGCAAGCTTGAGCCAACTATTTGCAAGTCTAGTTGACCTTGAAACAACGCAGTTTGGAGCTGCGTGGGTCCACTTATGCGTGGAATGTTTTTCCGTACAGTACAATCCTGAAAATGTATTTTCTCTTCCTTCTGATTTTCTTACTAACGTTTTTTTTTCACTTGTCTTTTAAGTAGTCATAATAGAGAAAAATTTTATTAGCTTACTTTAGGTGAAGGAAAACCATTAGGCTGAATTCTCAGACTATTTTATAACAAGAGGATAAGATTAACATTGGTATAAAATTCAAACTGCTTAGTAATGTTTCCTTTTCACTAGCTTGCTTTATTGTAAGACTACAGTACGCCTAAGACATTTGCAAAATATGTGTTAGTCGAATGTTTATGTTATCAGTAAGGCGGCTGCAACAGTATGCTATTTAGGAGTAAAGTTTAGGGACAGTCAAAAGTTATATGTAGATTTTCAACTGCACGGGGGGTGGGGGGTGAGGGGGTGTGGTAGTCCTACCTGCCTGCATTGTTCAACTGTGCTATTTTTTAAAAGCCTGGGGTTGTTCTTTGCAAACAGTAACTAGGAAGGAAAACAGCAGCCCATCCCTTAGAAATAATACCTTGAGGAATCCATAATTTTTAAAAGCAAATCCTGCCTAACTCCATTCTCAACAAGGCAACTTATATGCATAGATATAAGAGTTCATCTTTGACTTAACTTGGAAGTAACATTTTATCAATTTTCTTTTTTCACTATCTTGTTTACATCTTTATTCTAGAATAGCCCTTGGCACACATTAGGCACTGAATACGTACTCAGTGAACAATTTGATTCTTATTGATAAATCAAAATGAGCACAATTTGGCCAGGTTCAAATTTTACCCTTGGGATTTGTTGAATTCGGACTGTCAGTGTATTTTTCACAGAAGCCCCTTGATTCTGTTTTGCTGTTCCATGAAATTTGACAGAAATCAGGTCTTCCGTGAACGCCATCCTGAGAATATGTCACTGGATATAGAAGAACAGGATTGCGGATTTCACAGCTTATGGACACATTTGTCCATTCAACACATAGTAATTCAGTATATTCCATGATCTGGCTCTCCCAGAGGGCCACAGAGACCAGTGGGGGAGATAAATGGACAAACAGATTATGAGATAGAGTAACAGCAAAAAAAGCAGATGGAGTGGAGCGCGAAGCAAGGGGGCTGACCCTTGCTGGAGAGTGGGGAGGGGTCGGGAAGGACCTTAAGTGACATTACACATGTGGGGTGCAGACCAATGGGTAAGATGGGTTAACGGCAAAGGTTACGGACTCCTCCCACTGAAAAAAAATGTTATAACAAGGTCACAATATATCACGGCTCAGGGGAGGCCCCGTTTGTTTTTGTTTTTTGTTTTTCCTTTTTCCAGTTTGTAGCTGGTTGTAAATTGATGCTACATTCACTCATGTATGCAGCTAGTCTGGACATCTTTTATGTCCAAGGTCCCGTACTAAGCATTAAGTTTCCTCTGACACTAGGCAAAATCACCCTGGAAGGATTGGAATACAGTGGATATGTACACACACACAGAGGCAAATATTTTCTTGATGAACGAGCTTCTCGTTCATTTTTTCTCATAGATTAAATATGTAGGTCCTTGGCTTTCAGTGAGAATAGAGCCAAATAACTTGTGTCCTGGGCAAAATGGCAACTTAAAAGCCACCGACATGCCTTAGCAAACCCTCAAAGGGCAAGTATTCTGTCTACGATCATTCTTATCTCCTAACGGAACCTAAAAATGACATAAGTCCCTAGGTCACTGCACAGTAGCTCAGATAAGAGTCAAGTTTGAGAATGCAGGGTTTAACACTTAAGCTACTGTTAGGACACCAAGACTTGCCCTAGAGGTGTCCTTTGACCGTGAA